ACACACACACACACACACACACACACACACACACGACACAAAGAAACACAGTCTAGTTTGGATGTCTACATGAACATGGCGAAAAAAAATGAATCTTGTGAGTTTACCAGATGGATGGCATAGGAAACAAAGCGGTTACAGAATCTGGTAGTCCTATTAGAAATACTTCAAAAAATCCTTCAAGAGGGGAGCAACAGAAACGGACAGTAAAGTGGGTGTGTGGGGTCTCTAACAATGTTTTCAGCTCCAAGCACATAGCGCTTATAAGCAGTATCCTGAATAATAGGAAGTGAGCTTCCTATAATCTTCTCGGCTATCCTTACCACTCTCTGTATGGATCTTCTATCTCAGGGACTGCTGACACCAAACCAAACAGTGATGCAGTTTGTTAAACTGCTCTCAATCATGCCTTAAAAAGTGGCCAGGACAGAAGGAGAAAAATCTGCTCTCCTCATCTGATGCAGAAAATGCAGATGCTGGTTTGCATATTTACTAAGGATGATGTGTAAAGGCCAATTCAGATTGTTAATTATCGGCACCATCAGATACTTAATACTGTTGACCACTTCTACAACTTTATCCTTGATATTGAGTGGAGTATGACTATGCCAGCTCTTTCTAAAATCTACAATGATCTCCTTTGTTTTATTAACATTTAGAACCAGGTTACTTTTATTGTACTCAGTCCACCAGAGCCTTCATCTCTTCCAGGGGTGGGATTCAAATTTTTTAACAACCGGTTCTGTGGGCGTGGCTAGGTGGGCATGGTCATGTGACTGGGTGGGTGTAGCTTCTTCTTCTTTTCTTTTTTTTTGGCAGCAACTCTCTCCACATTATTTTGCCACCTGGGCCTTAGGGGGCGTTTTTACTCCCAGAAGGCTTCCCTGGGGCCCAGGAAGGCAAAAAACGGTGCAGGGGGGTTGCTGTGTCCCCCCTCCCTGCCCCTTTTTGCATCCTTGGGTGTCAGGGAAGCCTCCTGGTTGAAGCAGTAAGACAGCAAGGGGTATCCCGGCACAGCTGATCTTCAGAACAGCTGGTCGTTGGGAGGGGGGAAAAATACCTTAAGGACTGGGCAGGGGAGAATGCAGTCAGTGATGTCGGGCAAGTGCGCGATGCCACGCATGTGCGATAAGGACTGACTGGGCGGGGTGGGGAGGGGAGGGGGGACAGGGCCAGAGCCAGCCAGGGGCACGATTTGCCGGTTCTCTGAACTCCATAGATTCATAACAACCGATTCTATAGAACCAGTCCGAACCGGTAGAATCACACCCCTGACCTCTTCCCTATAAGCATCTTCACTGTCATCCCAGATAAGACCCACCACTGCCGTGTCATCTGCATACTTCACAATATGATTCGTAGCAGATCTGGCTCAGCAGTCGTGATTTCAAACTTTTATTGTCAGTGTACAACATGTGTACAATGAGATTGGCTGACCCTCCCTTAGTGAGTCATCAAGGTGAACAGTAGCAGACTCAAGACACAGCCTTGTGGAGAACCTGTACTCAAGGAGATGGAATAAGAAACTTTTCTTCCAACTCTCACAAACTGGGGCCTATCAATAAGGAAATCAATCCTCACTTAAATCAATACTTGCACGTATCTATATAACTCACCACCTCAGTCAAAACACATTTCACTAACCTTATCAGACACAAGAGGAAGACGCATGCTTTCCAAATGTCTGCCCTGTTTGCTGAAGACAAAATAGTTTTCTTTGGATTTAGGAATGATAAAATGTAGCTGAATCTCTTCTCCTAACATTGAGGATGAGAATGTAAAGGCATGTAGGGTAGAATCAGACATCTGCATACAAGGGAGAAAAAGATATTGTGACACACTAAAGAGACCAACTGGCAATATTAACCAACTTTAGTTTGTGAGGCTATCAAATGTTATATATTTGAGAAGCGTATTTGCATTACTCTTAGGAAAATATTATCTGCAAAATAGGATCTATTTTCAATGAATTTGCAAGAATATGGTGCATGCTGTTTGACTTATCTTCATTTTGCATCACAATTTAGGATAAGAATGTTTTCATATTGCTAGTAAAACTTTGCCCATAGTCGCATACTAAGGAATTTTGACTAAAGCTATGTAATGCTTTCAGAAAAGATATTTCACAAGACACAGGTTTATGAATATAGCATTTATCTGCAATATAAATGTTTCCCGCATCACATGGATACAGCAAATACCTGTACAATCCCAGAAAATGACACAACTGTGTTAATAAGTCATCAGTAGTTCTGTGTTCATATTCCCACATTTCTTTTAAGAACCCTTTCTATCAAAAGCCAAAGCATCCGCAGGCATGTATTTACATACAGTAGCTTTTTCCAAAAGAGAAGAGAAACTCCATATAAATCATAAATTGTTTTCAATACTTTAACCACTATTCCATTCTGTTCTCATAAAAGCATCACTCTTAGAAATCTTTTTTCCCCTCAATGGGACCCTGGTGAAAAAAATAATGCCTGCTAGACGGAAACATTGCATACCGGAGCTGAAGGATTTGTGTCCATATATTGATGGCACTGTTCACAGTGGTGGAAAGTATTGTAAGCTGCATATTTAGTTAGCATCATAGAAACAGTATTACGCTTTCTGGATTCTTCAACTTTGATTTCTCTGTTGGGTTCTGTGGACAAAGGCAATAAAAGGAAAACAGTCAACAAATCCTAAAAAGTATTTGCTAAAATACCCCAATAAAGTTTCTGAAAAACTAGGTAGGAAGAAGTAACTATAATTTAGTGTTTCCCTCACCCTTTATTTTTTGCAGTTGCTCTGTGTAGACTGGACTCATAAGAACATATTTGGGATCATGCACACTGAAATCAAAATTCATTTTCCTGACAAGTTCAATGTCGGGCCACTGATCACTGCTAGCCTGGGCAACTTCATTTTCTTCCACATGACCTAAAAGAAAATATGAACAACTAGTTAATATTCAAATCATAGTTTTACGTTATCTAAATTCCTCATACAGATTACAATGTTTTCAGTAAATATTACAATTTCAATGTTAAGTATACAAAAACTGTAAAGTATTTTAGAGAAATTAGACAAATGTCTTTAAAAATAATATTTTATTATCAGGGAAAGTATTAGGGAGAATGTTGGTCAAGAATAATTTGACATTCCTACTTCTGATTTGTCATTACTCCCTCCACTTTTTTGTGCTAACACAAGGCCAAATTTGTATTAAAAGAGTTGGTTTTCTCTTTTTAGAGTACTCTGTAAGCTTCACGTATATTAAAAAGAACTGTCTTCAGAAATTAGAACAGAGGCCCTTAGTACTCACTGATATTAATATCTTCCTCATCATACACGTCTATCTCCAGCAATCTGATCAGCATTCTAAAGAGAATTCGTAGGAACTGCAAATAAGAGCCAGTTTTCCCAACCTAAATAATAATAATAAAAAACAGCTTTTGAAAATATACTATCAGAAAAGTGTATTCATTTTGTTCTGGGATCTCCTGGTTCAATCATTTCAAAAAAGAATCATTGTTCGTTCAAGCTGTGACAAACAAAATGTAGGCATGACAATACACTTTAGAACACCAAGTATCTATTAAATGGGGTTTCAGAATATTATTTTTTAAAATAAAAATTTACCTAGCTTGTTGCACAATGAATTTTTCAAAAGCAATAGTTATGCCTTAAAATTCTTTCAGATAAAGCTCTGAGATGTCTATAATTATGAGCAGCTTATAAGATCGAATCATTGTTCACAGTAATCTTTCTTTAATTAATATGCTTGCTTGCCCAAACTTTCATTGCTATAATTTACTGAAGATTCAGTGATTTCTTGCAGGTAAGAAAATTACATGCTTACATTTGGACTTAACAAAACAAAGATTCAGATTACAAAACCTTCACATGACTTCCAATAATTTAATTCAAATATTATCTAATATTAATATTATTTAAATCAATATCATACAAAATTAATCAGCTCTTCTTCTCTTAGTGGAAATAAACTGCTCAATAACATTATTTCATTCGTCCATTCTATTTTTCCTCACTATCTAATATCAAATATTTTAATCAATACAGGACTGATTCATTCATGCAAATGTACTATCAGTTGCTGGAAATTATTTTTATTTTAATCAGGTTTTTATCCATTTTAAAAAGAACAGAGAGCTTTTCAAGTCATATGCTTCATGTAAAGGTCATCACTTATTTAAAAAAAAAACTCTTTTCATTAAAATCTGTGGGAGGAACATGACAATAGTACAAGTCTAACATGAACTAAGTTGTTATAGTAGTTGTGTAATTACTGTAATTTTTCCTGTATTTTTTCCTATACATCTATGAACTTCAAGCTTTGAGATAGGGCACCAAAATGTTAGAACTTGAAAATGCTATCTGTGTACTGAGGTGAATAGAATTTATTATTATTATTTTAATAGACTTGATCACTGTGAAAAGAAAATCACTGAATGATCAGGTACCTTAACAAAATAATCCATTAGGTTTCAAGCGCTGGAAAGGTATTACTAATAATCTCAGCAGTCTCATCAATCTTGGAAATTAATACTCTTTAATACTTTATAGGGGTGTGTGTGACATGATGGCTCAGCGGTGAAGACATTGGACTTCTCAGCTGAAAAGCTGACAGACCAGATATTCAATAGCATGCAAATGTAAGTAGATAATTAAGTACCACTTCAGTGGGAAGGTTAAATTCATTCAGTATTTTCACGTTGTCCACATGATGACGGAAGCTTCTCTCAGACCATGCAGGCTCCCTTGGCTAAGAATCAGAGATAAGCATTGGCCTCTTGAGTCAGTCATGACTGGATGGGGGATACCTTTAAACCTTTATTTATAAAATGAAAGTGGCTTTCTCAAAAAACTGTTTCCCTAAAACTAAGATGAAGTTTTAGGTGAGGACTGAAATTATTTCACTGGATAATGTTTGGAGGATCAATTGTTTCCTGCTTTATGTTTGTTTGCAAGAAGCTCAACTTACATTTTTGTGTACAAAATTTATTACAAATATTAAATAGACCTCAATCTTCACACCATGTTTTGATGTAAAGAAAATAATATTTTGTATCACTGACTATGGATTTCCCCTTGCCTGCAGGAAGTAGATGTATGTCATCAGCAAGCATGAATATGCAAGGACCAAAAGGTTCTTTTAAAAATTATTACTCAGCTATAAAAGCTAAAAATATGTCCTATAGCATTTGATTGACACGGCAGACTTTGTGAGATTTGGGGCATATGATATGAGCAGATAATAAATCAGGAAAAAAAATCCCTCAATTATGAAGGCAAGACTGAGGCAGTAGAAGAAGGGGGAAGCAATAGCTAAGGTGGAAACATAGGATTAAAAGAATCCCTGGAACTCCTTGCAAAAGCTGCAAGCCAGAGATTTATTAAGATGGTAAACATTTGTCCTTGCAATGACCAACTGTCCAGTCCAACTCAATGGCACCCAACTAATCATACACACTGGAGCTTTCTTTTCTTATATGGTAATCATTACTACCATTTTTACTTACACTAAGTATCAGAAATCTATTTGAAGCTGCACTTCTACAGTAATTCATACTCAATAGGAAGAAATACTGTGAAATTGGCACATATTGATAAATTGAGACTTGCTGTTTACTCTATTAGTGCCTCTTTCCACAAGTAACTCAAACTAACAGGTAGGATATATTATAGCATCTTAAACCAGGCTCCAGAATACTCATTTCCTGTTTTTTACCCCCAAGTAATTTGGAATTATCCTAATTTGTAATTGTAATTCTAGATTTTTCAGGAACAATTAACTAGAACTCTGGTTTATATAGCATTAAACTTTACCTTTCCTGGTTATTTTTATTAATGTCCATAAAGGAAGGGCATAGTAATAGAAACAAGCAGCATGCAATAATTTGTTGCTCATGCAACAAACATGCAGAAGCATGCAAAATTCAATTAAGAAACACACAGAATTAAGTATCCTGGTACCATTCTGCTCTGAATCTAATGAAAATGCAACCACATCTGCTCTGAAGCATAGATTTCATGGCTTATACATAGGTTCAGAGGGAAAAAGACCCAGCATAGTGTGCAAATCAGGGATGGTATCTCAAATTTCTGGTTCTGTGGGCGTGGCCTAATTTGTGGGTGTGGCTTGGTGGTCATGTGACTGGCAAACCAAATATAAGTGGTCCTCGCTTAATGGCCAGTTGCTTAGCAAGTGTTCTAATTTACGACTGACCTACCCAGAGCTACTTGACTTGTTTTTGGTGTTTTGACAGCCATGCATGCACGTACACACACACACTCACGCACACACACTTATGACCAGTTACAACATCCCACGCAGTCTTATGACTGAGGTTTTCTATGTTTTTTGCCAGTTTCCAACAATTCCTTCTGGTTTCCAGTTAAAAATGCCCATTGGGGAAAATGGACTTGTTTAACAACCACAATGTTTGCTTAATGACCACAAGGTTCACTTAATGACCATAGTGGTTACCTAACCCGGGGTCTGCAACCTTAAACACTCAGAATCATTTTTCTATTTTCTTTTAAATAGTTATCTCTCTCTGTGTGTCTCTCTCTTTCTTTCTCCCTTTTTCTTTCTCCCTCCCCCTCTCTCTCTGTCTCTCTCCCTCCCTCCCTGTCTCTCTCTTTCTGTGTCTTCTCTCTGTGTGTGTCTTGTCTCTCTCTCTTTCCCTCCCTCCCTCTCTCTCTGTGTCTCTCTCTCTCTTTTCCTCCCTCCCTTCTTCTCTCTCTCTTTCTCTCTCAGTCCATCCCTGGGGGAGGAAGAAATAGAAGTCACATTTTTCAGAGCTGTTGTAACTTTAAATGGAGGCTAAACAAATAGTTGTAAGTCAAAGACTATCTGTATCTGCTGCTTTAACCTTCCAATTAGCATCTAACTAGATTTCAGCTGCATCTCTGCACCAGGCACAATAAGATAATATCCTTATTTCCAAAATGCAGGAAAATAACCCAGGCTCCCAAGAAGTTATAGTGAGTGTTTTTCAAGCTTAGCAACTTTAAGACATGTGGGCTTCAATTCCCAGAATTCCCCAGGCAGCATGAGATTTGATCATTTGATTACTCCCAAGTTAGTAACATGAAAGAATTACCAATTTTAAAGATACCGAGCATTGTAGCTCTATATGAATTGATTTAATAAGATTCCATACTTACCACGCTTATGTCTCTGGACAGAACCATCAAGGCACTTCTACTGGATTGCCCTTTGTACCAAAGCTCTGATTTAATATTGCCTCCTCCTCCTCCTCACTAAATGCATGGATTGACCTCAAATGGGTGTTACCTATTTTCTACTGGTGGATTAATCTATAAAATGTAATATAAACTGCCCCTCCATCACAAGGACACAGTTTTAAAGAGTAAAGTCACCCCCCCCTCCCCAAATATCTCTTCCAGGATGGCTGTTCCTAGTCCATTAAAGTGTTCTAGGGCTCGTGCAGTCTCAAATTTAAAGCTAGGTATTTGGTTTAACTATATTAGTAGCGTAAAGCAGCAGAGACTGACTACTGAAAATCATACCTAGGAAGGCCAGCAAATCTTATCTGCCCACATAACATAATTTTAAGGCTGAGTATTACCTGTTTATAGCCCATATAAGCACCACATCCCATGAAAAGCCATAACACAGCAATTTCCAATGAATTAATCAATTAAATAACTACTTTCTCTCCAGCAATCTAGGCTGAAGCAGAATTAAACCATATATCTGCTCCTTTGTTTTCTGAATGGATTTTATAGGAAGGAGACTTAATTTCACATCCACACACACCAGCCACTTCCCACTCGATCTATCTCATTTAGGAAGCATGGAGGAGGTAGTCAGCAACAGCAAAACTAACTCAGTATCTTCCAAATGGGATAGGTGGGGGGGGAGGGGGAGGAGAGAAAGGGATTCTTGCTCCAGGCTTAAAGCCCAGCAGCTCCAGCAACATATCTTCAGCCTCATCAGAGGCGAGTGGCCGGGAGAGGAAAGGGTGGGGACAGCCAGGGGCACAATTTGCCGGTTCTCCAAACTGGGCAGAATCTGAACATCCAGTTCTATAGAACCAGTGGGAACCGGTAGAATCCCACCCCTGGTGCAAATGTCTCTGGATGGTCATTGGTTTGGGCCCAACTGACATCAAAACAATCATAAAATTCACTCCAAGGATGTAGTGGTTCACACTATAATAGAAGCATTTAATATTACAGCCTGGAATAAAAGGTTCCAGGGAATTTACATGCTCCAAATAGTCACAGTTGCTTATAAATTATATTTCTCAAAGTGTATTTTATCATTAATAAATGTGAATTACTAAACATTTTATTCTTTCTCATTTTGTAAGAGCACCTAGATGTTTAAGCATTTCTATTTCCAGTATTCCTAGCCAACATAACTCAAAGGTGGGAAACACACCTTCCCAACTCATCTGGAAGAAGCCAGGCTGGAGAAGTCTGGTCTGCCCCATAATATCTGTTTACCTGAGGTGGCCCTGTAAGAAGTAGCCGTCGTGGATGAAAACTCCTGCTGCTAGTGGTTTCACCATGGTTGCTGTAGTCTGCATGGTGTTGCCGTACAGCAGTCCACTGTCGGTAGTAAAGAGATTGCTCTTCACTGGTCATATCCTTGTGAAGCAAAGGCCTTAACGAGCTCACCCAAGACACGTCGGCATGAGGTAACAAAGCAGAAGAAAAAGGTGTCTGCCCACTTTTCTGTGAGCCAAGGAGGCAATAAGCAGCTTTTGACAAGATCACAATTCGGGGTAAGCATATGTGCGATGTCTTGCAATTTTTCGCTGGCTGGTTAGGCCATCGGAAGGTCTGGCTGACCAAAGGGGAAGCTGATGCCAATTTAGACGTGGTACTGCTGGCTATCTGGTTGGCTAGAGAGTCACATTCTTGTTTCAAAGGCTCCCCAGCAGCAAAGCCTTCATCAACAGAGCTAGTAGCAACATTCTGGAAGTTCATAGACAGTGACTGTTTCTGAGACTTGTCTGTGGCACTAGAGGAGCTCACTCCATTTTCTGCTATAGAACCTGGAAGATAGATTGAAAGGAAGGAAAAGGAAGGGCTGAAGGATATCCAGTAACATATAATGCATAATACATTGCCCTGCAACTTCTATACCAAAAATATCCTGCTAGCACTTGAGCTTTGGAACAGCACAAAAGATCAGGAGAGGATAGGTAAATAGACGTGAACAGAGAATTTAAGGACATGCAGAAATGTAAAAAGAACAGTCCATATCATCACATTTCTACAATTTGTAAAAGGTGTAGGAAATCTTTCATCAGCAAAAATGCAGCAGGAATCAGCAAATGTTTAATGTGTAACCATCATTCCACAAAATATCTTCACAAAGAAGATAATATTTTGAAAAATGTTTCTAAAAGATACATCACAAATGGCCAGAATCTGTGAAATATCACAACGTAAATTCATGCAAGATTTAAGTATCACAAAAGTTCAGCCATGTAATCTAGAAATGTGTCATTGTAGTGCCATGTTGTCAAACTATTAGTGTACAATGTTTAGGATGGCAAGGATTCGTGTACAAAAAAATACTATTAATTTTTTTCTTCACCCAACCCTGTGATATTAATAGCAACTAGGGAGCCAAAAATTAAATATAATTTACACTATGAAAGAGGCAATGATAAAAGCATGTTGTCTTTTGTGAACAGTACATGAGCAAGACCTGAAAAGAGAAAATCTTACAGCAGTGTTTGTTTATTCTGTCAACCAGAAAATCACTGGAACATTGGGTCTAGACCCAGGAAAGTTCCTTTTTATTTAAATCAGTGTATATTCAACCTTTTAAAAGATGTTATGAAATCACAACGAGGCACTGGAATTATGATCTCTCTACCTATCATATGTTCCCCTATGTCACTAGTCAGTATAACCTCATTCAGTATTAACTAAACATTATTATTAAGAGCTGTGGTAAGAGCTGCGGTAAGAGCTGCGGTGGCGCAGTGGTTAGAATGCAGTACTGAAGGCTACTTCTGCTGGCTGCTGGCTGCCTGTAATTTGGTAGATCGAATCTCACCAAGCTCAAGGTTGACTCAGCCTTCCATCTTTCCGAGGTGGGTAAAATGAGGACCCAGATTGTTGGGGGCAATATGCTGACTCTATAAACCGCTTAGAGAGGGCTGTAAAGCACTGTGAAGTTGTATATAAGTCTAAGTGCTATTGTTATTAAGGACTTAAAAACAGCATATAAGTACCAACCCATAATGTAGTTTGCTTATGTGTTGAATCTGCCAATTTAGATTTAATAAATTATGGATACACAAGCCATGATTTATTGTACTGTGGAATTCTTCATAACATCCTGTTCTTAGTTCTTAGTAATGATTATTTGAAAAGATTAACAGAAGAAAACCAACTCCAAGAAGCCTAATTTTTCCAAATTTCAAATACAATGATCTAAAAAGGAACATGTAACGAGAGTATAATTTCCACAGATTTAGGACTACCAGATAGCAGTAAAGATAGCAAGTTTTTTGCATCTCTTTGCTGCCCTCTAATGGTTATCTGTATTTTTGCAGTCAAGAGTTGGTAGACCTAGTACAAATCTTATAGAATAAGAACAGAAATCCTGTCCAGGTAATAAAGAACAGATCTGCATCACGGTTTGATAAACATTTTTGGGTCATGGTCACATCAATATTTTTTATTTTGTCAATAAGATTATAATTCTTGGAAGAAGTACAAAATTTTCCCCCTCTCTCCACAAATATTTTATTCTAACTACAGCAGGGCTGTAAGAGACTTTCACTGACTTCAGAGTTCAATAGATATTTGAATAAAAACAACTCTAGTACTAATTCTACCCACCCTGGCTACTATGTTCACTTTCTAGACAAGACAAAAAAGCACAATAGGCCAGGCCTCTCTTTGCTACTCAGCTGGCAGCAATGACTGTGCCATCCCTGGTCACTGAACTCAATAAAGCTCAAAATTAGTCCACATCAGAAAAAATATATGTAATATTGGCTCAGAAAAGAAATAATATATATATATTTTTTATAGAAATAATATTTTTTTTCATAATGCTAATTGGAAGAATGTTTGAGCCTTCCACCTGCATTCAAGGCTATTTGAAATCCTGCATAATATTATCCACTACTAATATTTTGCAGTTACCTTCAAACTATCTCAGACAAAAGGATTGCTATATTTAGATCCCATTTGCCAATTTCCTGGAAGCCAACTGAATGCTAGGTATGGTCCTATGTCTAGACAAGATAAAATGCCCATTATTACCGTTGAAGACCATTACAACATATTCTTACTTGAAATCAAAAGAGTCATCATACTATATGTTCCAACAACAACTCCCAAAACAAAACAAAAAAGAAGATTACCCATATCAATAAGGAAACTTCAATCCAAAAAGAGATCACTCTGGCGGAAAAACAAATCTGGTCACGTTGCCAATTTCAAAAACCGATACAAAAACTTATGCCACCAGATAAAGACCGAATGCACCAATTATCACATTAAACAAGAAGAAAACCTTCTAAGCACCAATTCCACCCGTGCTTTTTACAATTTTGTAAACAACAAACTAAAAGACTCAAGGTCCATCCCTCCCTTGATAGGACCTGATGGTAAAGACTGCAACGACGACACCATTAAAGCCAACATCTTTAACACATTCTTCGGCTCAGTATTTGTAAACAGCAATGGATCTTGCCCAGTATTTCCTAACCGTACCACAGATAACAACAATGACCTAATACATATCGATTTCACAGAAGACAATGTTGAAAAATCACTACGCAATCTAAAACCATCCCTATCTATTGGACCGGATGGAATATGTGCCTACTTCTTAAAAAGCTATCCACTGCCATAGCCAAACCTCTAAGCATAATCTTTGAAAAATCTTTCAGGACCAGCTCCTTGCCTAACCTATGGTCACAAGCCACAGTCATCCCCATCTTCAAAAAGGGAGACCCAAGCCTAGTTGAAAATTACAGACCAATCTCCTTATGCTGCGTCACCTGCAAAGTCATGGAATCAATTATTAACCAATCCATCATCCTACACTTAGAGACAAACAACCTACTCTCCAATAAACAATTTGGTTTCAGAAAAAAACTATCCTGTAATCTGCAACTCTTACACTGCAAAAACATATGGACGACACAACTCGACCAGGGCAAAGCAATAGACGCAATCTACATAGACTTCTGTAAAGCCTTTGATTCAGTGGTACATGACAAACTACTCCTAAAAATAAAATCCTATGGTATATCTGGACAACTGAATAACTGGATAGAAGCATTCCTATCAAACAGACAACAAATGGTCAAAATCGGGAGAGTCCTATCAAATCCAGTACCTGTCAATAGTGGTGTCCCTCAGGGCAGTGTTCTAGGACCAACTCTCTTCATACTCTACATAAACGACCTCTGTGATCATATTAAGAGCAATTGCGTTCTCTTCGCTGATGATGTAAAGCTGTTCAATACCACAGACAATACTGCTACCCTACAAAAAGATCTTGACTATGTATCCGAATGGTCAAACAAATGGCAACTTCAAATCTCAACAAATAAATGCTCTGTCTTACATATTGGCAAAAAAAATCAGAAAATAAAATACAAGCTGAATAGTCAAGACCTTGTTGATGACCCAAGCTCTGTAAAGGACCTTGGAATACTCACCTCTAATGATCTGAGTGCTAGAGCCCACTGCAACTACATAGCCAAAAAGGCATTAAGAGTTGTTAACCTAATCCTACGTAGCTTTTTCTCTGGCAATATCACACTACTAACCAGAGCATACAAAACATTTGCTAGACCAATACTCGAATACAGTTCATCAGTCTGGAACCCTCATTACGTATCTGATATTAGCACAATTGAGAAAGTCCAGAAATATTTCACAAGAAGAGTTCTCCACTCTTCTACTCGTTGTAGAATACCTTATGCCACCAGACTTGAAATTCTAGAACTAGAAAACCTTGAATTACGCCGTCTTCGGTCTGACTTAAGCATGGTATATAAAATCATACATTGCAATGTCCTACCTGTCAATGAATACTTCAGCTTCAACCATAACAACACAAGAGCACACAATAGATACAAACTCAAAGTAAACCGCACCAAACTTGATTGCAGGAAATACGACTTCAGCAATAGAGTAGTCAATGTCTGGAATACTCTACCCGACTCTGTAGTCTCTTCCCCAAACCCCAAAAACTTTAACCTTAGACTGTCTACCATTGACCTCACCCCTTTCCTAAGAGGTCTGTAGGACATAAGCGCACCAACGTGCCTACCGTCCCTGTCCTATTGTTTCTCTATTCTTTTATTTTTCTTATATGTACCCATCTCATGTATTCACAACTATGTATACACTTATACTTATTATCTTGTAAACAATTGACAAATCAAATAAATAAATAAATAAAAATAAATAAAAATAAAAAATACGTGGTGGACTAGAACAGGCAATAGCCACTCTAGCCCAACACTTTGTTGTCAGACAGAGTAGTAGAAAACTTGAGGTTTGAGATCTATAAGCAGTTCCTGAACCCTTTTCTGAGGTAGAGACCCCATTAACCTAAGTGACCATTAACTGGCAAGGGTTTCCTACTATTTTAAATAAAAAATACACAAAAAATATTTTGGAAGCCCCAAAGCAAAGCTTTTAAACACCATTTTAATCAACTAAAAAACAAAGAAAGAAAATGAAAATTACAAAATCCCTGCTTCAAACCTAGGAAATAAACTACGCTACCCACAGATGTGATAAAGTCCTTGCCAGTTATAGCCCTCATCTGCCTAATACATATTAAAGGCCACCTCTGACCATTTAAGGCAGCCTATTGAAAGGGCACTTAGAATCAGGCATTTGAGCTGACCAGCCACTCCAGAGAGCTGTCACAATTTCAATTCTCACCTCCTACTCCAAGGTCCTAATAGCAATGCATGAGTAAAGGGTGCTGCCTCTCACAAGATGACATGGGCAACTCCCATAGCCACCTTACAATGTCTCACTCTCTTAAGGGCAGAGTATTGATTGGATGAATGCCTCATTAATAAGTGAAGGAGGAAACTGTGACAACTCTGAGGATGGCTATAACTCTTCCACTTTAAACGTCTCCTCTTGAACTGTCTTGCATACCCATTTCATCTCTTTCATCTCCATTCCCTTCATTCTGAAATAATCAAGTTGGATCGTATTAAAAATTCACCGATATCCATTCCTTTCCATTTTCCACTTATCCTATTCTCTCCTAAAAATTACTGGATCCCCCCCCCCCCCCCCATTTACTTATATCCTGTAAAATTTGCTCTGCTATATCCTGGATTAGCAGTGCCTCCTGGACAAAAGGCATTCACTACAAGCTATAGCACTGTGAATGATAAAATTAAGAACCAACCTGAAGTTCCAGTCACAGCACTGCTATTACTTTGTGGCCTCTCCAAGTCAATCAACAGTTCATCAGTATCATTCTCACCAATGCTGGTCTTCTCTTGCTCCTTTTCACTAAGGTCAAGAGCTACAATAGGCCCTCGAATTGCCTCCTTGGAAACATAGCAGCATGCTAGGCCTACTTCTTGTTCTAAGGCTGTGCGAGTTAAATAGCTTGAATCAATCAGTCGAAGATCACAGTATTTCAAAGACCTGGGGAAAAAGCAATATAGAAAGGCTTACTGAACAATGGGGTTATAATTCTTGTCTTTTAAAGTGATGAGTGAACCATATGCACAGGACGGGAGGGTGTTTGTTTTTCTTTGAGTTTGTATTTTAACTTTGCTAATAATATAAAACAATATTGAAAAGAAGATAGGACAGACTTTTTATACAAATAAAATAAAATGCAAATTAACTGTATTGCTTTATAAAATACGAACTGGTCAGAATTGTTTGGTTGTGATATTTAGGATATAGAGGCAGTCACCATGATTTTTCAGCATTCTGTCAAACCACATTTTATCTAATCATTCATCTGTTTTTTTCTTCTTAAATTAGGGTTTTAAATTACAAGATTAGATTGGATCATTTTTGTCAAATCAATGAAGAAGTCTAATGTTTTTTAGACTTCTTAATTAATTGTTCAGTTAGGTTTTCTTTATCTAGTTTTAGGATTTGTGTGGAGAACAGATCAGATTGTAGGTCATATTTATGCAAAAATACTGAAAGTTCAAATATATACACAAACTTTTATGATGTCATTTACATGTATGGACTTTTCTTCCCATAATCTTCCAGGCTTCAGGATCATTGGTGAAAATTCTGGGACTTGAACCCCATAAAACTAGGCAGCAACCAGATTAGTATAAACTGATTTGAAGTGAAAGGGCCCAAAAGAAGCCTTTTTACAATTGGAGCATTGCATTTATGAAATGCCCTCTGTGCCACGTTATGAAACCAAGAAAAGTTATTTCTATTATCCAGATTATAGCTCATATCAATTGTATGAAAATTCTACCTGTATTATTGAATAGATATGCTGGTTTCTTTCATAGGTTATACTTAAGTTTTATAACAACTTGTGCACTATGATCTTAGGGATTTGAAACACAATCAAATATTTTTTTCAGTGAATGCTGTCTATTTTCACAGCTGCCTTCATGTGTTTGTTTTTTCCCTTCAAACTATAAGACAGAAAAATTACAAATGTGTTGTTGAAAATTACCAGATTGCCACCTAAAGAAAGAAATTGGGAATAATCTAGATATTTTAGGGAGCTATTATATTTGCACTATGGAGTAATTCAGCATACCTGGGAAATGTTTCTCCTAATGGATCCTTGCCAGTTAAAACAACAATACAAGGTAGACCTTCTAAGTCTTGGTAAGTATGAGGAAACCAATCATCATCTTCATTTCCTCTCCATGCCTATGAGAAAGAATAACAAGAAAGCTTTCAATTTCATTAAGGTTGTTTCAGAAACCCTTTTTGTAAAACAAAAAATCCTAGTGGAGGATAGCAATTGAAAAGTAGAACATCAATTTTAAAAAGTCTGTAAAAAGCAGGAAATGTAAATAAATTGAAATTCTTGCATTAGAAATCTTCTACAATTCAACTCCCAGAGCAAAAACAATGAAATGTAAACTAAGGCAGTTTCTAAATAGTGGATCCTTTCTTTCTTACACAAATGAAGTTATGGCATTTTCCAAATCTCACAGTTCTTTTTTAAAAAATTGCATTTCCCATGTCTTTATTAGGATTCAGGCATACTGGCAGTTTTAAAGGCCACAAGACATGACTGAGAACCTTCAGAAACTCCATGGTAGAGAAAATTATTTATGACAGAGAATCTCTGCTTTCTTCTTTGCTCTCTGTGGTAGCTCTGGAGGTGGCAGGTAAAAATGGCTACATTCACACTAGACAAGCTTATGAATTAGCATTATGTGTGATCTGTCTTTAAATCTTGTTGCCATGTTTGGTAAGAATTTCATCTGATATAAAAACAAACCTACAAAAATTAGGGGGGAGAGTATATAAGTAAACTCTAAGTAAACAAAAACTTCCAATGTGTGATGATCTGTTACCTAAATCTATCAATAACACTTGAACAAGTACAAGCTGATCGGAATAGTTTAATGTCTCTCAGTTAATACTCATAATTTGTAGCCACAATTCTGCAAGATAGATTCCTTTGTTTTATGAAATATATAGAATTTCATTAAAGAAGAGAGGATGCCAGTATTATATTCCCCTACTATATCCTGCTTCTATTCAATATAATATCTTTGTGGCTTCTCCCTAAGAAATTTAACAGAGAAATCAAACAATGTACTATATGTTTCCATGCAAGCTTATCAGATTGGGCTCTTAGTCACACATAAACAAGCCTTTGAAACTAACCTTTAATCTTTTCACAAAGTGCTTGGCAACCATAAGCTCTGAAGCTGGGTTTCCCAAAATTATCTCAAAACGATACTGCAGACCTAGTTTATCTCGTGCCTCTTGCAGCCTCTCTTTTGCCAGCATTGCCAGTTGCACAGAAGGAATTCGGATCACTAACATGTGGCCACAGCCATTCTTATCCTTGCCAGGAGCAGTGATGATGTCATCCATTATGCTGAGCGTTTCTGGTGTGCTGTGGTCTCTTAGTGAGGCCATGGTAGTGAGAGCCATCAAGGCTTCCAAATACTGCTGAATGAGGAGATAGCAGCGAATCACCATACTGTGCAGCCTGGGATACCTTGAAAGGACAGAGGTCTTTTTTTAGTCATTTTGATGTAAACATATCTGGCATGAAAGATGATACTTCTGTTCTGGACAGTTGGAGTCCTCTGTGCTCAGTTGTGGGCATATAAACATTGTGTTTAAATATAACTTTTATATTTTTGAAAGGCTACAGTCATACAGATGATCTCTAGTAAACATAATCTAAGCAAATATAAGAAATTCCCACTGAGGTAATATTAATATTTATAAATGTGCATTAATATAACTTCCAATCAACATGGCTGAAAATTCTGGTATTTGTATTCCAACACATGTAGTACTATAGAATTTAAAAAAACCTTTTGAAAGTTAAATGTATGAGAAATTAATTTGTAAGTAAATATAATAATGATAGATTAGGTACATACTAATCATTTTAAGATCGTACTGCTGAACTTAGAAAGCTAAAAAGGACTGTATCCAGTGGTGGTATTTAGCTGGTTCGCACCGCATCGGGAGAACCGGTAGCAAGAATTTGGCTAGGGTCGCCAAAACCGGTAGTAAGTTCTGGCTAGCCACGCCCCTGACCCGGTCGCCCTCCCGCCTGATGCTCGCTCACCTGCCTGATGTTGTTTCTTTTTTTTCCCCTTCCGACAATCAGCTGTACATAGATCAGCTGTGCCGGGATTCCCTTTGCTGAGGCCCAGGAAGGCAAAAAATGGCTCAGCCCCTCCCCCCTCCATTTTTTACCTTCCTGAACTTCAGAGGAGCCTTAGGGGAGCAAAAACGCCCCCCAGAGGCTCCTCTGAGGCCCAGAAGGCCCAAAAAATGGGTGGGGGCTGCAAAAAAGCAAAAAAACAAAAACAAAACCCAGCCATGCCCACCCAGTCACATGGCCACGCCCACAGAACCAGTAGTAAAAAAATTTGAATCCCACCACTGACTGTATCTGATTAATATTTGTCTAAAAGACAACTCCCCCCCTCCCCCAAGTAAATACTAGGGCTGTGAGTTAGACTGGGAAGTTTAAAAAAATCATATCCTACTCCTTTTGGAATATATGAGAAAAGCATTATTCTTTTAATGCGATCATGCCTTAAAAGGTAGGATCACTCACAATATAATTTAAAGACAACCTCCAGCAGCCTTCCTCAGATTTATACCAGAAAGATTTCAATATGAACAATATTGCAAGCGTTTATTTAGATAGTATTAGAATTCTTACTGTTTCCCTATTTACATATTGAATTTATTAAATGAAAGAGACTTTTTGAGTGCCAAAACATACAGTCCTGACTAAGTACTATCCCCAAAAGCATTTACCTGTCTAAGAGTGTATTCACCATCTTTTCAAAAATTTCATCACATCTAAGAAGAGGGCTTGTGATTCCCCACTGCAGAGACTTGCTGTATTCATTCAACCCAAAATACAATTTCTCATCTTGGGTTATTTCCTCCTGTTAGATACATTTCAAACAAAGCAATGATCAGAATCAGATTACACTTAAATGCACATCCTGCATTTAAAACATAAATCCATTGTCCATTTCTCACTTAACAGCAAATAAAATTATGTGTGTATGTACATTAGTACTTTCCTCCACTGTGAACAATGCAACTGTTAAACACAACTGGTTGTTTAGCTGAACTATCTTTTCCAGAAGAGCCACTGCAATTCCAAATAAAAGATTGTAAGATACACAGCAACATAAAAATTAACACAAGCCCAATCCTTCATATATATTATTCCAGAATTAACTTCAGAATAGAATTCTGAACAGAAATCATAGCAGAATCAAAATCCAACCAAAAGAGAACCAATAAATCATCAAACCAACCCACCCAGAGTTCTCATTAGAAGCCCAAATGACCAGGTTGAAATTATCCTACAGTCCTCAACTTACAACCATTTATTCAGTGACCATTCAAAAGTATGACAGCACTGAACAAAGGGACTTATATTCAGTGCCCAAGGTTATTTATGGCCATTTAAGTACTCCCGCGATCACATGCTCAAAATATGGGCAACCCACCTACACTTAAAATCACAGGAGCACTTCAAATTCCCCAACCTGCCTATCTTTTCCCCATCTATGGCCCTTTGGCTGCCACGTAACTCTACTGCCTCCTGCTGCTCTTCCCCTCCAACTAGTCTTTGATGTTTTCTTCTTCCTGCTGCTGGCCCAGGATTCAGGTGCTGAGTCAGGATGGAGCGCTAATATGTACACACCACGAGCAAGGAAAAGCAGCAGAACTTCATCTGCTGAAGGGAGCTTATCAGGCCAGCAGCTTTCTCTGCCAATGGAGCCTACTAGACATCAAGGCACAGGTAGGAGAGCTGGCAATGGCTCCCAGGCAAAGGATGGCGGCTGTGTGGGAGAAGCTGTTGGGGATGGTGGCAGAACGGGAGGGATGTGGAGTTCTAGAGACGCAGTGCACCCTCTTGTAGCTTGCATTGGAAGCATTCCTGGAAAGCCTCACATTTTGCAAGAGACGCTTCCAGGGAGAAGGCTTTGCAGGAGGTGCTTCCTGTGGTTAGGCTTTGTAAGAGATGCTTCCCTGCAGGTCAAAGGCTGCATTTGGATTGCCCCCACCCTTGTTTTTTATGCATTTGAAGCCCAATTTGAATCAGCAGACAGTCAGGGCATGCCTTGACAGCAGCAGAAGCAAAAACATAACTGGGGCAATGGATCACAGGTGGCAGAGGCCTCTGAGCACAGAGTGGCTAAGGCAACTGCAGCTGGGACTGGGCTGAAGCAGCTGCAGCTTCCCAGGGTGTGGCAAACAGCCCCACAGCCATGCAGTTTGCTGCCCTACCAGCAGGGTGCAGGGTGGCCAAAAGGGCAGAGATGGGAAGGAATGGCTTGGATTGTGGTGGATCCTTGGCTAACACCAGTTGCGTTTACTTAACAATCACCACACAGACTGTTGGAATTGCAGTCATTAAGCAATGAAGTCATGTGATATCTCACTTTATGACTGCATCCTTAATGACAGAAATTCCAATCCCATATAAAGAATCGCCTGTACTTTGGGCATATTATGGCAAGGACCTAATTCTTTGGAAAAGACTCTAATACTGAGAAAAGTGGAGGAAAGAGGACAACCAGCAGCAATGAGTGACAATGAGTGCACTGTTGTAAGAACTGAAATACCAGGTTAGGTATTGTTATGGGAAAAAAATCTATGTATTTACTAGGAGATGAAAATGAATTGATGGTGCATAATCAATTAAAAAACAGAAGGCCACTGCAATACCACCACAAGTACTAGATTTATTTAATCCTGGAACTGAAGCAGAGGTGGTATTCAGCAAGTTCTGACCAGTTCTGGAGAACCAGTAGCTGAAATTTTGAGTATTTTGGAGAACCGCCAAATGCCACTTCTGACTGGCCTTGCCCCCATCTATTCTCTGCCTCCCAAGTCCCAGCTGATCGGCTGGGTCTTCTTTTGTTGCGCTGCACAGGAGAACGGAGCTGGAAAGCAGGTTAGTGGGGTAGGGAGGGAGTGGGATTTTACAGTATTCTTCCCCTGCCACGCCCATCAAGCCATGCCATGCCCACTAAGCCATGCCCACAGAACAGGTAGTAAACTATTTTGAATCCCACCACTGAGCTGAAGACAACATACACAGTACTCCCTCTGTAATTTCTAGTATCACTCTATAAGGAAAATTGGAACTGATCCATAATAACCTAATGAGCTTCCATGGCTGAGGGTAGAACTGAACCTATATGTTTCTGTTCCTAATGTAATATTTTAACCACTACACCACAATAGTTTTCAATTTCCTGTCAGTCAATTTCCTGTGGGGAAGCTACATTATTGGCAATAGGTCTGGATGTTCCAATTACTGTAGACTCCTAACAGGGATCAAGCATTTAGATTCATTTACACATACTTTGAAACCACTTAATTGGCTTACAAATCCAAATTTAAACACTATGACTTTACAGGTCTTCATTTCTTAGAATTTAGGTACAGTGAATGCTAGATTGTCTTCCTCTACATCAGGAGTGTCAAACTGGTGGCCCACAGGCTGGATGTGTCACGCATAGGCCATGCCCACCCCAGCTCCACGAAGAGAAAAAAGTCGTGATACGTCACGTGATGGCAACATGACGCTGTGAATTCGACACCCATGTTCCAATAATTTTTCTCATATGATGTGATTTATGCCTGCAGTTTTTTCCCCCAGGTATCCCCTATCTTCAAAAGTAAGGTGAATAGTAAGAAAGAATTTTGAAGTGAGGACCCTTCTATGAATCTTAAAAGACTTTTAAAAAAATATTCCTAGCTTTTTCTACATTGCTACATTTTGAAGTGTTATTCTTTTAAAATACTACTAGTTGAAAATTTTAGCCAGTATTTTATTTCTTTTCTTGTGTAATTCAACTCAGAAATCTAATTCATCACTGAAAGACAAAATTTAAATTCCTGAAAATAAAGGTGGGACTAAATAATTTCTAGAATGTCAAAGGTTAATTGAGGCATTGATAATCTGGCTGGTTACTAAACTGAGTACTGTATAAGATGCCCACCTTATGAAATCACTCCCTCCTTGAATGCAACCAGATTTTGATAGTAAACTATCAAAATAAATTAAGAAAGCAACCCCTCTCTTTATTATCAGTGCTCTGAAGCCATGCTATTCAAAATATATTAACATTTCCTGGATATTTTATTTGTTACCTTTAGACCCTTACCATATTGCCAAACTGTATCCAGTGCACCTCATTTGCTGAGTTGATTCTGGATTGGAGAGTCTGAAGGGCATATGGGAAAGAACTCACTTGGAGGACAAGGAGATTGAAAGCTTCAAGGACTTCTCTGCAGTTTATCACTCTATCAGCAAGTCCTTGACTAGGCTCTCCATGAGACAGTGAGCTTGAGATAGCACTGGGAAGAGAGTCAAAAGATAACATGTCTAGTATACCAGAATAAAAAAGATTAAAACAGAAACAGCAAGATTCACTCAGTTCAAAAAGCAGCACGATCCATAGATTTCCCCACCCCTACAGTATAACCAACAAAAGTCACATATAAAAGCTATAGCCCTATTCCTGGTTAAATACTGGTACCAATGAAGGTTGCTCTCATCTCATAAAAAATATTTCCACACATTAAGAACAACAGAGAAGCAATTTTAGTAACACGTAAGTTCTCATTCTGGTAACCAAACCAAATGAAATAATTATAGTCGTAACTGCCTACTTCTCAATTAAAACAAAACAAAACCAATTCAGCCTCACTTCAATGGTTTACCTTGTTAAATCTACATGGGCATTGTCATGTACAAGCACAAAAAGAGTATATGGATTCTGTTTCACTCGTCTCATGAAACTATCAAATTTGGTTTGGACCTCATTGTCAAGCTGCATAACATATTTTTCTGCTCTTTGGTAAGCTGTTCCACTTTCTTCAAGTCCCAAGTCTACAAGAACACCTAGAAGAAGAAATGATGGTTTTATTCAAAATTAATATTTTTAAGTGTCAAAGCAGCATGTAAAAGTTATGGTTTCAATTATCAATCTGTATATGCCTATAAAATCCATGCTATATCTGTATATACAGTATCATATATAAATGTGCACCCATTGTTACAAGACCAAAAATATTGTAATTGTGGCATGTTGTGGCATATTTACTCACTCTAATCACCTAGAAAAGAATAAGAAAAATCTTTGTGAACAAATGATAAATGAGAATTAATTTTTACTTTTCTTACAGCCTCTTATCCCAAAGAGGCCATTCAACAACTTCAGAGAGTATTTTTTTCAAGCATGAAATCTTCTGTGTTAAATAGCCCTGTGGGTATTTGCATTAATACTTTGTGTTAACACTTTGTAAAGCTTTAGAAAATTGCTTCACAGTGCAATGTAAGCAAAGCATCTCGTTCTAAACCAGCGGTCGCCAACCTTTTGGACCTCAGGGACCACCAAACTCATAATTTTAGATCCCAGGGACCACTAACTGGTTCTGTGGGTGTGGCCTAATTTGTGGGTGTGGCTTGGTGGTCATGTGACTGGCTGGGCATGGCTTGTATGTAAATATTGTATTTATATAAATATTGATTTTTTTATTAAAAAAGAGCAACTTTTACCCAAAATCAGGCAAAGCAGGCAGGCAGATTGAGTTGCTCACAGAATCACAGATTCATTCAGAGATCTATCTATCTGCCATTGGCTAGCTCAGTCTGTCACATAAATTTTGCTTGCAAGCAAACTCATAAAATTTGCTAGCCAACTCACAAAATTAACTCACAACACACCATGCATGTAAATATTGATTTTTTTATAAAAAAGAGAGCAATTTTTACCCAAAATCAGGCAAAGCAGGCAGATTGAGTTGCTCACAGAATCATTCAGTGATCTATCTGCCATCAGCTAGCTCAGTCTCTCAAATTTGCTTGCCGTGAGTCTGCACTAAATTTGCTTGCAAGCAAGCCTTCAGTCCTAAGAGAGGTTTGGCAGAGCCAAAGACTAACAAGAAAGCAAGAAATCCAACCATTTCCTGCTTCCTAGCTAATCTAAATCTCCCGGCACAGCAGAACAGATGATGGTCGGAAAAAGGAAAAATAGCAATTTAGCGGGCAAGTTTACCGGGTAAGGAGTGAGTGGGCAGGGAGGGTTCCTGCGGACCATGTGGGTGGCGCAGCCTTGTGTTTCTGTGCAGCCTGGATTAATTGCTTTGGGAGGGTGCTCTGGGGGTGAGATTTCTCTGCGGCCCACCAAAATTTTCTTACGGCCCACCAGTGGGCCGCGGCCCACTGTTTGGCGACTGCTGTTCTAAACAACAAGAACAATGCTTACCCAACTGCTTCAGAAGGTGCTCAGTTTTCTTCATATGAGTCAGAAAGAGATGGTTTATTCAAGCTTTATTGAAACTATTTCAGTTGAGAGGCCTATGAAATTATAAATCATAAGAAAAAGTCCTAACAGGACTTTCAATGAACAGTCTTCTACATAGCTCTTCTATCTCCTCTTGGCAGGAAAAAATAGAATTCTGAAAAATAAGTTTCTGCTGGATTTAATAAGCTTTTTGGTTATTTACCTGATTGTCGAATCCGCTGGATGGTTTGTTGAACAAGGACTTCTGAACGAGGAATGACAACAATAAAATCTACTTTGTTGAAGTGGCCCAGATCCAGACTTTGGTTGCCACTATCTGCTATGGCACACACTTGTGACAAGAGCTTTCTGGCAACTGTGAGTTGTGGTTGATAAATCTGGAATGTTTCAGTATCCAAGTCTAGTATAAAGTAGAATCATCATTTATTCTCTGGTCCAGAAATTGGCACTGAAATCCACTGCTATATGTGGCCCCCAAACCCAATGTCTCTTGTATTCTATAAGTCACTATTTTAAAACCAAAAATACATAACATTATAATATACCTTCTAAAATAAGCCTCTTAGAATTAACCCCTAAAACTTCTGATGTCATTCACATGTATCCATTTTGCATCATCATTCTGCTTAACGTAGCTTTTTCCATCACATTGTAGCTTCTGGACACCAAAGTATGTCTGTCTCTCTTGTGACTTAGGGCAGCTCTACCTAATTTGGCACCTTCTTGATGTGAGCTTATTATAGCTCCCAGAATTCTAAAATTTATGGAAAATTTTCTAGAAGTCATATTCCACACACATCTAGAACATGAGGACTAGAAAAGTCTGATCATTGTTTTTATCTCTGAAGTGAACTATGCCTAGGCCTTGCTATAAGAATATGCTGTAAGAAGTGGACTGGATCCCTCTTCTCCCTGAAAAGTTTATGGTTTGGAGAAGGACAGGACAAATAAATACTATAGTAGTATAATATGACATATTGTAAAATTAATTAAATACATAGAGTAAATAAATAACTTCAATTTTAAAACAATAGCCTAAATCTGTGCAACTACATACAGTACTAGCATGCTTAATATAACTTGGAGCTTAACAGAAATTCAGACATGGCAATGGACTAAGATCTTTTGTAGGCTAGGAGTTTCAATTTTAGAAGAGGCTCAAGATTTCCAAATGTAATCAGACATACATACATACATACATATACATACATACATGTTTTCATATATATGTGTGTGTGTGTGTTTTCAAATATAACAGTTTTCATATATGTGTGTGTGTGTGTGTGTGTGTATGTATGTATGTATGTATGTATGTATGTATGTATGTATATATATATGTATATGTATATGTATATGTATATGTATATGTATATGTATATGTATATGTATATGTATGTATGTATGTATGTATGTATATATATATATATATTTCTTAAGTTTTCGCGGGTACTTACATGTATGGCATTCAGCTTTGTTCGGGTATTTTCCCACATCATTGTAGTTGTGCTTTTAAAGTTGTAGCAGCGTTTCGGCAGAATC